CCTGTAAAAAAAAAAGCTGCGCGCGAGCGTATACTATATAATGTTTACTAAGACTGGAACGGATACTCTGAACTCTCCATCCGTGAGAAATTGCTTACGAATCGACTTCGGAGTTAAAGAAAGAGAGAAGAAGACAAAAAGAAGAAGAAGAAGAAGAATCGCTTCTTTGATTTTCCATTCACGCGTATGTGTGTGTAAAAAAAAAATAAACCTTCGCGCGCCAATGTATCGGCAATACATTATATAGGAGAGAGAGAAAAAAAAAGTCTCTCTCGCGATCGGCAATCGTTCGAATGGCACGTCGAGCATTCGAGGTTGATAAGGCTTTGCTGCTACAGCCGATCGAATCGAAATAATAATATACACACACGCGCGCGGCAGGCGAGTCGTCGATTGTTTTATCAAATCGCGACGATCGATGCGCGCGCGCGCGCGGTGAACAGTGTTGTTGTCAACATTCCCCGCGGGCCGCGCGTGAGCTTTTTAGCTTCTATAATAATGTGTATAATAATGAAAATATGCAGCAGCGATGGTCGTTATTACGAGGATGGACGAACTAATCGCTTTTTAATGATTTTCAATAATTATCAATGATTAGTTATAGTGTAGTCGTTAGTTAAGGTTTTTCCCCTCGCACGAGCGCGAGTTTGCATATCGGCTTACTGGAAGTCATTTTCCATTAATAAAGTGAGAAATTCAAGTCACTGATTAACTAATTAAAATAAAAACGAAATGACATTACAAATTTATATGCAACGTATAATAATAATAATTGATAGAATCGCCGTGTGCAAGTAGTCGTGCAGTTTGATTTTCTCGCGCTGAACGGCAACGGCGGCGGCGGCGGCGGTGGCAGCAGCTTTAGTGTGCAACAGGGACAGAGCCGCCGCCGTCGCCGCCGCAATCGAGAGAGTCGAAGTGTGTTGTAGTGTGCAGCAGTGGCGGTGGTGGAAGGGATAGAGCGAAAAACGCACACACAGGCGAAACTTGAACTGCACACACACAGACATATACATAGCAAACGAAGTATCGTCGGGCTGCAAGAGAGCTGCAGCAGCACACGGTATACTATATAGGAGCGGAGTACTGCTAAGAGCAACGAGTGCGAGCGAAACAGACGTATAGTACGACGATATACGTGTGTGTGTAAGTATAGGCCAGCCGCGTTTCTCGTGTATTTGCGAGCGGAGTGTTCGCAGTGTGTGCTGCGTTGTATAGGTCGACTTCCGAGCGCTGAGCACGGAGTAGAGAGAGAAGGCAGCGCCTCGTTCTCCTCGTTCGCACACACATACAGCAAGATATATACGCGGCTCGCTCGGCTCGCTCGTTCGCGTTGTATTTTATATTGTGCGCGCGCGCGCCGCGACAGTCAGTGGAATTCGCTGCTGCCGCTAGTATATAGCGAGAGCAACAGTTCTCTCTTTTTCGGCTCTCCTCGCCATCTCCTCCGCACGCTCTCCCGCGAGAGAAGGAGACTTGGCGTATTATACAGCGGAGAATTTCGTCCGTGTGTGTATATGTTTTTGTCTGGTGGTGTACGACGCGCCTTTTAGTGTGTGTGTGTTGTGTATATACAAAAAAAGGTATATCACGACGAGTCGAGAGTGTAGTGCGTTGATGCAGTGCAGTGCAGCTTCGAAGTACGACGTCGACCTCGATATTTATTATTTCGTGCGTCGTGTGCTGCTGTGGTGGTGCTCTGTGCTTCGCAGAGTTGAGAGCTCGATCCTACTGGTACAACGTATCCTCGAAGTTTCTAAATAAGAGAAGTTGACTCCACAAGTGCAGCTGCTGTATTGCTGTTGTGTGCGAGTATATATAGTGAGTGCTACAAGTCCGTCTGTGTGCGAGCTGTGTGCGTGCAGTGCAAGCAAGAATCGCGCTCGTGCAGCAGGCTGACTCTCGAGTGCATCGCACCAGGCAGTGTTTCTCAGTAATACGCACGCACACACACACACACACACACGTATATCCGCGCGACTCTCTGTGCGACCGACTGTTCTCTCGAATGTGCTGGCGTGTATAGTATAAGTGTATTTGTGTGTAGTGCCGTGCTGTACGTGTGACTCGATTCCAGGCGCTCTTTCAGCAGCGTACTCTCGCACAGTTTATAACGTACTACAACTATTACAACTCCAACGTTTAGTTCGTGTGTGTGTGTGTTTGTGCGCGCATTCGACATAACTATCTTACTGCTACACGACAATAATATCACGGTAATAAAATAATAAAAGTACAAAATGCTGCTGGTGCCGAGGAGCAGCGACAATAGATTTGGGTGGCTCAGCAACTGACATAAGTGCGTGTGACATGTTGAAAAAGATGTACGAGAACGGCAGCGAGAAAATCAAGCAGCTCAAGATGGATACTTGCAGCGGCATGTATCAAGTGAGTTTTCCAGCTTCGTCTGTCTGTGTACGTTTGGACTCCTTCCATCGAATAATAATAATAATAATAATAATACGATTGATGATGAAACGGCGTGGACATTACGAGACGTTCGACGTTGGACGACGAGAGCCTCCGCGAGGCAGAGCTCCAGAGCTCCGATAATGTTATACCCCAGTCGCGGCGCGCGTGAATCATTCCGTTTCTCACGTTTCTGAGATACATTACGCATCTGTGTATTATGTGTATAAATATATATACAGCTATATACGGCGTATATACTTACACATACACTGCTACGTATGTATCGGAGCAATATATAACTCAGGCCCTACGGCCGTTCGATCTCTTTCTCTCACTCTTTCTCTTTTTCGCGTGTATTATATCGGGAGAGTCGTGCACGCACCTCGGAGCAGTGTTCTGCTTTTTTGTTTTTTTTTTCATATTTCGCATCGAAAATGTATACAAATGGGCCCCCCGATACAGCACCGTTTACGCACACACATACACATATTCCTTAAAGTGCATTATACATATGGGTCCGGTCGTCGTGTGCGTGTTTTGTGTATAATAATACGCGCGCGCGCGGCCTGCGTGTTGTGTAGTATATAGTATACGATATGTATGAATGCGACTTTTCATGGCCGCCGTTTGCCTGCCTGCCTGCCTGCCTGAGCTCTGGCGAAGCCCAACGTAAGAGCCGAGCCGAGCGAGAACGTCGAGGAGCGGAGAGCGACAGGCCCCTGCCATGCCATACTCTGCCGCGCGCCAACTATATAGATACACTGCATCACGGGTCTCTTTTCTCTCTCTCTCTCTTTCTTTCTCGCTCGCTCCGTTGCTCATGGCGTTTTTTATATATAAATAATACTTACTACGTGTATGTGTGTGTGTAGTACACACATACCTATTGCATACACGTTTTACGGCAACGGCAGTTATACAACTCCGAGATTGAACTCTCGTTGTGTTGTGATTGCATTTGCGCGAGAAGCTTGTCTATGATGTCGTCTATGAGCTCTATACAATATATAAATAATATATACGTTTCGTGTTATTATAATGATAAAGATGATGGAAACATGACAGCGAGGAGGAGGAGGAAAAACACTCGGAGAAAGAGAGATATGTGATATTTATTGACATTATCGCTGTGATGGCATTAGGCGCCGAGATTACACGCGTTACGCCGTATTTAAAAAGATCAGTTTGAGTAATAATAATGCAGTTTCGTTCGTTAACGCGCTATTATTGTAAACGAGGAGTCGCCGTCGCGCCCGACGACGACTGCCGTCGTCGCCGCCGGCAATTTCGATAAGGGACCCGTGAGAGAGAGAGAGAGACCCCCCGACTGAAAAAATGAGACGAATCGCGACGCGTTAATGACGTTATTTAAATCTTTCTCTCGCTCGCTCGTCCTATATAACCTTATGAAATGTCGTTGAAATATAATTTTCTCGGCTGGCTGTGTAATATACGTGTACATTTATATGAACGCCCGCATATTGTATATATAGGCAGATGCTCCTACATGGGACCCGTGTGCGTCTATCTTTTTCTCCTATATATAGAGCAATCGCTCGAGTAATATAATACACAACTATACACGATTGTGTGTACGTGTGTGTACCCTCGTGTTTACGTACTAACTACGATACAGTAGGCCGTCGTACACTTACCCGTGAACGCATTAGCAACTATCTGTCGTTTCTGCTGCTACCGCTATATGCAGTTATTACAGAGCCTTTTCAAATATAGCATATACACGACGGTGTATGTTATAATGCCGCGCACGGTGGCCTGTGTGTTGCCCCTTTGAGAAAATTCAATTTTCCAAAGGGAAAAGCACATCGCTTTATGGAATTCGAGTTGCTCAGGCAACTGTATACTTCATCCGTGACCTCCTCTCTCGATCCAGCGCGCCTCTATATTTATATGTATCTCTGTTGTGTGCTGCTGTATATATATATATACCGCCATACACACAAGACACTCGCACAGACACAATATACATAGCAGCATAAACACGTGCATTATTCAAACGAAATGTGAAGTAGGTCGCCGTGTTTTTGTTGTTGTTTGGGTTTTTAAGGGGTAAACCGTTAAAGCGAGAGAGAGACACTCGAACACGCGCGTAGGGGTTCTTTAAATTTTCGCACTGCACACATCGCAACTTACCTTTTAACGATTGTTTGGGTCAATTCGGTTTTGATGATAAATAAACAGAGTCTGGCTCGCGAAAACACACGACTCCTCGATGAATAATCTACGTGTGTTTTGACAGTAAGAGAGTTTGTGTATCGAGTATAATCACGCAGACGTACACACTGGGCTTGCGAGGAATTTTAATGGTGATTAACTCCTTGATTGCATGAATGACTGCATAAATATTTAATGATACTTTGTATGACCAAGGCTTGATGCATTGCTGTAATTTCCTTTGATCTGCTGCATTGTTGTATAAAGTGAGAATGATGATAAATGGGTGGAGGATTTCCATATTAATTATAGTTCATATTAGTGATTCAGAATATTGAATTTATTCATCATACAATTGTTTTCTTTATTGGTGATTGTTCATAAATTGACCAAAATTTTTTTTCTTTTTACAGTTTTCACAAGGTCTCACTGGAAGGCCTGAGCTTTATCAGAAGTCTAATAGAAGTAGTCATTCTAGCGATACAAGCTCAGCTTACAGTGGCTCAGATACCATGACTTCTGTACAAAGTTCATTGGATCAAGATCCAGATGAAGTGGATCTCTCAGGACTAGTGGAGTCCATAGTGGATAGCGATGAAGAGGAAGACCTTGCAGAAAGCATGGATGTGAGTTGAATTTTTTTTTAAGCTTTATCATTTTTTGAGTAATTAAATTTACATTGAACTAATTTTTATCATTTACAGAGTCTCACTGTTAGAGACACAGTCAGGGAATGTTTAGAAAAAGATCCTGTAGATAGAAATGAAGACGATATTGAAGTTCTCTTAGAATTCACACAACATCTGAAAGCGTTCACCAACATGACCCTGGCAGTGAGACGAGCTCTATGCGCAGTCATGGTATTTGCTGTTGTAGAACGATCTGGAATGATAGTTTTAACAGATGGAGAAGAATTGGACAGTTGGAGTGTTCTCATCAATGGTACTGTAGAAGTTGAATTCAGTAATGGAGATGTTGAAACAATGTCAGTAGGTGACAGTTTTGGAATTCTCCCAACCATGGATAGACTGCTCCACAGAGGAGTTATGAGGACAAAGTAAGAATATTTTCAAATGAAAAAATGTTTTAAACTATGTTTTAAAAGAGCATTTGTAACTATTTTCATTCACGATGATTCATACTTTCTATCAATTTATCGCAAAGTTAAAACACTCTTTACCTTGCAATCATGCTCTGTTAAAAATGCTCATATCAATAATATTTAATCAGTAAAAAATCTCAATGTATTATGAATGCCATACAAATACCTACATGATTGATCATTGATAACAAGTAACTAATCGACTTGAAATCTTTGCAGATGCGATGACTGCCAATTCGTGTGCGTAACACAAGCAGATTATTATCGAATACAGCATCAAGGCGAAGAAAACACAAGGCGGCATGAGGAAAATGGCCATGTGATTCTTGTGACAGAACTGCGAGGCTCCTTGGAAGGAACACCAGGTGCTCGCCGCGGACACGTTGTTATCAGAGGCACGGCAGAGCGTTTGATGCTTCAACTCGTCGAAGAAAACAGTATTAACGACCCAACGTACGTTGAGGACTTTTTGCTCACACACAGGACGTTCGTAGAAAATCCGTTGTTCGTTGCACAGCAGCTGCTCGAGTGGTTCGAACAATCGCACGTTAGAGACAAAGTCGCGCGAGTTGTCTTGCTATGGGTCAACAACCACTTCACGGACTTCGAAACCGATCCCGCGATGATGGAATTCTTAGACGCATTCGAAGCTTGCTTAGAAAAAGAAAAGATGCATGGACAGCAAAGGTTAGCCATCAATTCAATCGGAATTATTTGGACTGCTTTTTATGTATTGTGTCTTATGTAAAAATATTTTTAATATTCCAGGTTATTACTCATAGCTTGTGCTGCTAAAGCAAGAACGCGAAACATCGTGTTAACACGGCCGAGCAGAGACGAGGTGCTACATTTTAATATTCTGGGAGGTTACGAAAGAGGTTTCGGCATTTTCATCTCTCAAGTAGAGAAAAAATCCAAAGCCGAAGATGTCGGCTTGAAACGAGGTGATCAAATGCTCGAAGTTAACGGACAGAGTTTCGAACATGTTAATCACGCTAAAGCCTTGGAAATCCTTCGAGGATCAACACATCTAAGCATCACTGTAAAATCAAATCTCTTAGGTAAGATATTTTTCTCTTATCGTTCAATATCGGGTGTGTCATCGTACTAAAATGATGACTATTTATTTGCGATTTGATAACAGTATTATGTCAGTGACCAGGAATTCATTTGTATCGTTACTTTACAGCGTTTAAGGAGATGTTGCAACAACCGGATAACTCGACGCGACCGCGCAATCGGCCCCAAAACAAACCGGAGTATCTTCCAAGGATATCCACTGATTCAGGAATAAGACTATCATCATGCGGTGAACCCGCGACCCCAACTAATAACTCAGTCAATCCAATCAACCCAATCAACCCAGTCAACCCAGCAATTAGTGGAACTATACTCAATCCCTCTGATAGTAACAATACGTCGCCTTGTAAAGATGTGAAAAAAGAGCATAAAGGTTTCATGACTCTTGGGCCAAGAAAAAGGTTTCAGAGGGCTCTTATGAAAATGAATATTTTGCCAAAAAATATGATCAAGTAAGCTTTTATTTCACCCTAACATTTTTATTTTTTTTTATTTTTCTGTTACTAATATTGGAGAAACTAAGGTTTCATTTGGCTTTCAGTGACGGAATGCACGCAGATGATCCGCTTGGTCCTCCACGTTCGCCACCGGGTACTGGACTCGCCAATCAAACTTCAAATCTCTATCACTCGCGTTCGAATCCAGATTTAACCTCACTCTATAGCACGTACGATGAAGTACGTGCACCAGATTATCCAGAACACGTTCTAAAAGTGTACAAAGCAGACCAAACTTGCAAATACTTACTCGTGCACAAAGAAACGACCGCTCACGAAGTTGTCATGTTGGCTCTACGAGAATTCGGTATTACGGAAAGCAGTTCCAATTTTTCATTAGCCGAAGTCAGCGTTGGTGAAGGTGGAATGATCAAACAAAAACGACTGCCAGACCAGTTGCAAAACCTCGCAGAAAGAATCGGTTTGAGCTCCAGATATTACCTGAAAACTAATGGTATATCGGAAACGCTTGTAGCCGATGAGCAGGCACCTGAATTGGTGCGAGAATCGCAGGTGCACTTCCTGCAGCTAAATGCTGGCGAAGTTGCTATTCAATTAACTTTACAAGACTACAGTATTTTCCGACAAATTGAGTCAACAGAATACGTTGACGATCTTTTCGAATTGAAGAGTAAATATGGTACACCAATGTTGAGACAATTTGCCGAGCTCGTTAATCGAGAAATGTTTTGGGTTGTAACCGAAGTGTGTTCGGAACATAATGTCGTCCGACGAAGCAAAATTATCAAACAGTTCATCAAGATAGCTCGCCAATGCAAGGAGTGTAAAAACTTCAACTCAATGTTTGCAATTATCTCAGGTTTGGGTCACGGGGCGGTATCGAGGCTTAGATCTTCCTGGGAAAAGCTGCCAAGCAAGTATCAAAGACTCTTCAGCGACTTGCAAGAGCTTATGGATCCGAGTCGCAATATGAGCAAATATAGACAATTGGTTGCCAGCGAACAAACTCAACCAGCTCCAATCGTAAGTTTTTTTGAATTTTAATTTCACGTTTGTCGATTTCAGTATATTTAATCAATCGTTTTCTTCTCTTTTAGATTCCATTTTATCCAGTAGTTAAAAAAGATCTTACCTTTATTCATCTTGGAAATGATTCCGAAGTAGAAGGATTAGTGAATTTCGAGAAGCTTCGGATGATTGCCAAAGAAGTTCGTAACTTAACGAACATGTGTTCATCGGCCTATGACTTGATGACCATGCTAGAACGTGGAGGGCAACCACCAAGTTCTGCAATGGTAGCGTTGAATCAAATGACAACTGGTACCCAAACTCTTAGTATGTATTTTGATAATTATTGCCAATTTAAATTTCTATTTCACTCGTCATTTTAAATTACTTACTATATTATAGCGACGCAACAAACCGCAACAGTGAAAAGACGTAAAAAGTCAGCGGCAGCACCAAATCCAAAGAAAATGTTCGAAGAAGCACAAATGGTTCGTCGAGTCAAAGCATATCTGGGTGATATGAAAGTCATTACGGACGAGGAAAAACTCCACCAGTTATCGGTTGAGTGTGAACCACACGTTGGACAAGTCGGAGGAATGGCTTCTTCGGTCCCACTCAGTAGCTCGCGGGGCAGAAGACATCCATCTCCAACCTTGTCAACGACGAGCAGTGCTAGTAGTACAAGTGAGGGCAGAAAGAGCATACAAGGTAAACTTTGATTCTTGATTCAAGTTTTCATACTTACTATTCCGTTTTAATGCTGATTGATTAAAGCGATGATTGAAACTTGAATTAGATATCAATAGTTTATTGTTAAATTGCTTTGAAAATCTGTCTTCTTTGAACGTTGTTCTATAGTACTTATTACATCCATACAGGTACGAAGTTTGGAGCAGCGTCGCCACAAGCAGTACGTAAAATGTTAGCCTTATCAGATCCACACAAGACACGACCGTATCAACCGAAGCACTATGCACCACCACCGCTACCGGTACCTGGTTTGGGTATTCACTCGGGCATTGAGTCCTCGCCAGCCGCGCCGAGACGAGTCGGTTCGGCAGGCAGTAGGGCGCCTATGCACGAGCGTTCGCACAGCGACACACCGTCGAGTCTTCCACCACCCGTTGACCTCAGCGCCGAGAGCAGTAGCGTAACAAGCCTGAGCAATTTGCAACCTCTCAGAAAGACTCTGACCAGTGGTGAGTGAGCATTGGTGTTAAAAATTTGTTAGCCTTTTTTTAAAAGCACTCGACACCTTGGCCGCCGTCGTCCTATAATTCTACATTTCTATTTATCTTTTTCTATACTCTCTATCACATACATTTATACACACAATATTTTTTGCATATTGTGTTCAATGGACTGTTAGATTAAGCAGTGCTTGCCTTTGACACAAATCAAACGACTTAATTTTTCCTTTTTTTAACTTTACGAGACACTAAGATTCTACAGTCTGTCTCTTTTGTAGTTCTTTAAATTATACTGATATTATTCATTTCAAACTGAAAATAGTAACTTTAATGAAACCTAATGCTAGCTTTTTTTATGAAACTTGTTTACTGTGACGTTTCTCATTTCTTATAAAGCAAATGTTTTTATATTTATTATAAACCTTTGTATGACTTTCATAGTTATCATTATTTTCGTATTTACTGTTCTCTTTATTCATGAATACATGACTACATACGCCATCATTTTCTGCATTAAAAAAAAAATGAATAACTCCATAAGGCATAGAGAATAGTACGATGAATAGAGATAGAAAAAGATTAAAAGAAAGCACGCGTATACGCGAGGGGATGAGGGTCAACTTAATTTAGACTAAAAAAAGAGAGCTATTTAAAAAATGAGACACGAAAAGATCGTGTGGAATAAAGTCGAGGGTCTCTTCCTTTTGTTTTGCACATGTTCATATAACACACGTACGCGCGCACACGCAATCACATGATTACCCGTGGGTGTGTGTATGTATATTTTTTTGTCCTGGCCTCTTATTTCGAGAGACCAACAAGCGCATTGTTAATGTTTGCTAAATTCCAGTCACGATGTCGGCTCGACTTGGTCATGCAGATTGCACGCGGGTTGTTTTAAAAAATTCACACGCAATTTCAAAATAATAACCATGTCTTGAATACATACACAGATATTGTGAATACCACGTAAAAAAATCTTGAAGTCTCTTTCACACGATAGTAGTGGCTCATGTTATAGTGGCTTTCGATTATCACACGTATGAGCGCAAATTGTAACATATCACTATCAAAAAAACTAATTATTTATCTTATTTTTCAAACAAAATCATTCAAAAAATAATGGAATTATGTTTCACTGATGATCCATCGCTGTATTCTTGTTTTTAGACATGCTTTTGATATACGTATGAAACAGCACACCTTAATTACGCTTATGCTATTTCAGTGTTAGTCATAGATGACATAAATTAATAATTATTTCATTGATGCAACCTACACGTTAAGCTCTTAATGGATGCTTTGATGGATCATTTTAGCGATTCATAATTTATCATCGATTACTCTGTATAAAAGTAAACATCGAAAATCGAGCGAATAGGCCCTGCGGTAACAATATTTGCCGAGAGCATTCCCGTAGTACGTGCGCGCTCGTCTATGAAATAATAATGATAATTAACGAAGCTGTAAAACGGCAAAACGGCAAAAATGAGAGAGAATGAAAAGAGTTGACGGAAATCGTTGATATAATGTCTAGGTTCGGTGACCAGTAGTGACAGTGGTCACAGCACTCAGTTGGACAGTCACAGCGGGAGCAGCGTCGAGGCAGGCGGTAGTCCGCCTCCACCGCAGCGCAGACACTCAGCCATGCAAGGTGCGTATCTTTGTCTCGGGTTGCCAGATGATCGAGAGACTTGAGCTATATTATTGATTATCACATCGTTACTTAATAATAATGCATTACTCATGGTATAATTGGCGCGCCTATATCAAAACGATGAAACGAGCCAATTTCTTCGTAGTACGCGGCTGCTGTACTTTTTTTCTTACTGTGCAGTCTTATTTGTCAATGAGTCGCGTTGTCGAAGATAATTGCTTAGTTTCGTTTGAATTGGTTGACATTTTTCGATTAGCTACTATTGTGATTTTTAGTATTGTAAATATGAGTTGATTAGATGTGTGGTTTTTTTATAGAATCATTAGTTCGGAAAATATTTTTTACTATATTAAAAAAGTTGCAATATGTATGCTTGAATCGAAAAATTTGTCAGACGTTCTAAAACTGGTTCGAAAATGTAAAGATTAACAATCACTGTAATTAACTAATTTTGCACAAAAAGGAATAATACTTCATTTTCATCTGTAAATGATAATCAATAACTTATAACCAAACACGCAGTAGCTATCGGTGCTCGGTATACGAGTTTTCATCCAGTTTTTCGAACCAACCGGCTTTTACATATGATTTTTTGTCTTTTTCATTTGTCTTCATTTCTGCCAGTATGTGCTATGGCAATAAATGCATGTTTGATAAAATAGTGAAAACTATTTCGTTTATAATTATATTATATACTTAGTAAAGTCATTGATGTGGATTTTTATGCATAGTTAAAATCAGTATTATGTAGTTAAATCGGTTGAAAAGTGATAGTGACAAGCAGATTTTTTAAAATCATTTAAATTTTAGAGATTAAATTTTATACAAATTAGATTTTTATATGAAATCATTAGATGCTTGCACACGATTTTTTTTTTTTAATACAAATTATACGGAGATCTTTAATGCCAAAGTTGAATAACCTTAAACAATTTCACAACGATAAATTCTGTTACAAAAAACTACCAAACATTTTATCGTGTACTTTTTATTTCATTGATTGTAAATACTGTGAAAAAAACACATTAAAATAAAAGGTACACTTCATTATCATTTGTAAATATTGTGAATACAATTCAGAACCAGCTATAAATATCAAACCATGATAAAAATCAAATGAAATAAAAAAATTCTCTCTCACGCGTGCGTTAATATAAATATAATAATAAAATGCTGCGAAGCTGAAATTTAAATAATTAAACAAATCTAAAAAAAGTAATAATTCTGTAACGCGCCGCACTTGTCCCTCCTTGTGTGAACAAAAACGCAAAAACAGCAGGTATGCAAGTACTGCCGCCGTTCCCGCACGCGGTCGCGGTGTTACCTCCGTTACCCATGACGCAAGCACGACGCAACCGATTAGACTCAGGGGCCTCGGACGACGATCAGTATCATCACAACAACCACCACCACCACCACCATTACCATCAACAACATCAATATCATCATCACGCTCATCAACATCAACACCAGCTACTGCAGCAACAGTTACAACAGCAGCTACAGCAGCAAGTACTGCGCCGGAAGCAACAGGTGGCTACGACGCCGCCACCGCCGCCCCGCGACAGACATCATTCATTGTGTACGTTCGACGGTGAGTCTGCCAGTCCGAGAATCACATCTCTCTGGCATCCACAATAATTTCATCAGAGTCATCGTCGATGATGGCAATGAGGACGCGTCGTTATAAACTTACTGCTACCCAACCCTCCACCTGATGCATTTCTATTATTGGATATTTATACTGTAATACCACGTGTACTGTGTTTTTATTGTTTGTGCAACTCTACCTTCGTAGGAAACGTCATGGTTACATTGAAAAAAAATCACGATCATACCTCATCAGTGTTATATATTGTTGAAAAGCGTGAATACAAGGCGTCATTAAGATACATAGATTCTTTCTATTTGTCGTCCTTCATGCAGTTATTGAGAGAAATCATTGTATTAATGTAGTTTTTTTTAGAAATTGTACTTGATCATTCATACACAAATCAAAAATAATTGCTTTGCTAAAAAAAAACAAACACAGCGTACATTTATGTTGCTTATAATGCTATTTGATTGCTTATTGGTGTGGTTTGCTTAGTTTTGCTATTTGTAATTTATGTATATTTGCATTTGTATTATACTTTGAAAAACGTACTATTGCATGTTTAGCACGTTTCTCTTATACACATTGATCTTATTCACACTCGCATGGTGTTTTTTTTATTGAATAACATAACAATTGAGTGTACATTTTTTCCAAGAAAGAGACAAATTTCGAGCGAGACGATATATTCTCTGACGATTTCAAAAGACACTTGAAATATTAAATAAAAAAATACATTGTTTTGGGTTATAATGGTGATTTGGGCGAAGGTTGAAGTTTGGTATTTTTAGAGCTTTTGTTATGGGGTTACTACGTAATGGTGAAAATTACAAAAGGCTTCGTACGGTTTGAAGTATCGAATGTCGGAATGAGAATCTTTTTAAAGCTTAAAGTAAAGTTAAACATTTTTGAATTGTAAATAATTGAATTTTCATTCTGACTCGATACTTGGCTAGATACCTCCTTAAGAAACACCTGCTTCAAAGGCAGACTCAAGTTATCAACTTGAATAGAACGTAAAAAAATGAAAAAAAAACGAATAGAAACAGGAATCGAAGGACCTTTTCTAGGTGGAGCAAACGTAGTATCGCCAGCTACGAGCAGTATGCCACCACCGCCTCTGCCACCACCGTTAGGTCCGAGGAATAATTTAAGGACAGGAATCGCAATACCGCCAGATTACAAGCTCGCTGCACAAATGGCCAGACTCCATCGTTTGGGAAGGGCCCATAGCCACGAAGGAGTGACCTACAACAACGAGCACGAAGACGGTATATAAACACAATTCGCACTCTCACAACAACATCATCAATGAGAAAAAAGGGAGAGAGGGAGAGAGTGAAAGAGAAATAGAGAGGGAGAAATATAGATAGAGAGTGAGATAGAGAGGGAAAATGTTCAACTCGTGTGTTCGAGCGATCGCCACCATCATCCACCAATCATCATCCAAATAGTCACTACTACGCCTATTATTCATCGACTGCAACCTTACTGTCTATTATAATGACTGTTACTCCGTTGACTAGATAACGAAACGACTCTCAGACATCGAGTTCCAAAGGTTTATTTTCATATTTTTTTTCTTTTTATACATCTTGTAATGATAGGTGAGCGAATATGTGTCGGTGTTTTCTCGACTATAAACGTTTACGTTTTTGGTGTGAAATCAACTATTCATATGAATATTGAATGTGCTTATCTATGAGAATGTTTCTAACTTTTTATTGATAAGTATTAATGTCTGTGTTTTTTACCTACAACTTATTCATTGTGTGTGTGCCAAAGGCGCTCAATACTTATAAGGTCGTGTTAATTTGCGAAAATTCGTATCGACAGCTGAAAGTCATCAGACAATACGACTTAATTGACGTCGTACTATCATAAATTGCTCAGCAAACAAGAGACGTTTATTCATATATCATTCACGCTCGAAATAGGTTTTTTGTTTAAATGACCCGTATCGTTAGCAGACCATGCATTTATTTACAGAGTTTATATTTAACTTGAAATTGTCCAAAAATATTTACTTAAATTTTATAAAAACTACAATTCTTAGATGATTTATGATTATCCATCCATATTATATAACTAGAACGCATCGTTTATAATTTTTGCTTTAATATTTTTTTATTTTATCTATATTTATTACATTCAATTAATCGACTCATGCATATTTTTAATTTTTGCTTGCTTCAAAAAGCTTTATTTTTTAATCAATCGAAATCAAACATGTTATAAGAAATATAGATATTTAATGAATAATAATGGTTTTTAACAAAACTACTTTTTCAAGCCATGATATTAAACACAATTGATTCAATGGTTTAATGAATTGAAATATTTTTAAAACAACTTGGTTTTAATTTCGAACTTTCTCCGCCTCTCCCCTTTAGTAATTGGAGCATGTAATTGCCTTAGTAATCATTCATAGAAAAAAGGCCCACCATTTCTTAGAATCAGTTTAATTTTATTAATATGTACCTTTATTGAAATTATGCATTTTATTTTAAATTGAAACAAAGAAAGGAATATAAAGAATCGGTAATCAGAATCTCTTAGCAGTAGCTTTAAAAAGTAGTTTTAACATGAAGCGAGCTCTCGTTTCAGACCAATTATTTTAACTCAATACTCTTGAACTAATGTCTCATTTTTATTTATTTATAGACGACGACGATGCCCAAGTCTCAGCTGTATAGGAGCAGCTTCCGGGCCGAGTCCCGGAACGATCGGCGTCTATCGCCTGTAGCGGTGAGCTCAAACCTCGTCTCCACTCGTCGTTCGTAGTTCGAGGACCTCGTGGCGTAAGACCCGTTCAGCCTCGGCGAAGCCATCAAGGACCTCTACTCTGAATTGTTAAACTGCACCGTTTCGCAACTATAAATATATGCAACACAATTCCTGTACAGCCGTGTGTAGTGTCCGTTTCTTTTGATGTACGTGCGTGTTTGCGTATCCGCGTGAATGAAATTCTTGCAATAATGTTTGAGTTTGTGTGGAAAGAACCGTAATTTGTGTGTATCTGTATTCGTGCTTTATGAATGCGTATTTGTTTATTGCGTAACGAATGCCAAATGCGAAATATCATATTGTATACAAAAACATTCAATGGAACTTTATTGTTGTGAGTAATGGACAAGTAACTTGCATGTTTTAATGTGACTATAAAATGATGTATGAACAATTTAGCAACGTGTACACCGTTGTTATTATAATATGCATTCGGAAAATGTGTAATAAATCAAGTCCAAAGATGATAATTCATATCGATAGATTCTCCGCAGATCAAGAAGGCAGCGTAATGTACGATATAATTTTAGTGGCTAGCCCTTCCGAATCCCTACGACATATTTACGTAGTCCCATATATATTTTTTATGTACATAAATGTGTATTTTAGTCGTAAAATAGTTAAATTATGACGATCAATTATAATTGTTCAAAGAAACAGCAACCGTTACTAAAATAGTAGACCCGAGAGATTATTAATTATTATTTTTACGAAAACTGAGAAACGCGTTATTTCACCTCACCCCCTTAAAGTTCAAACCATACCGTCAAAACAATCTATTATATATTATATAAACAGATCTATATAAACCATCCCTGATAAAATTATATGAGCACATACACCCACATATATATTATATAAATAATATAAAAAACATTCATTTACAATATTCTTCATTGTACATATTTCAAATGCGTTTTAGAATCTGTAATATTATGTGTATAACCGTAATCAAGTCAGCGGTCTTGGAATATATATTTATCTTTACTCGATGAACAAGAAAATAACCAAGAAATCATTGTTTTCAAAGAAAATACTTTACTTATTTAATTAATTATGCTTCAATTTTTAATAAATTTGAGAAAACTAGACATTTTTAAGGTTCAAATTGTTCACTATAACTATTTCTTTTTAAACATCAAAAGTCTATTTAGGCTTTCATAAAACATTCAGATTTGCATTTAAATTCATCTGCAGCAATGATGATTCAGATAAAATATTGCATGTATTAATAAACTCGTTCACAGTAAAAGTGCTCATTTGTTTGTAAATATTTCATAAGTAAAAAAAAAAAGAAGAAATTCGTGTAATGTATAAGTTTATCTGGTATTTCATTGTCATTCCAGTCGCATTTCTATTAATTTTATACACTCTAATTTAGAGCTTTTTGCATGACAAGCGTTGATCTAAATTTCAATAATGTAATTAATGTTCAAGGACGTTTATTCCATCATCGAGACCAACTTTTTAAAAATTATCCTTGCGAGACAAGCGCACAAAGTTATCGCAAGTATTTACTGCTGACGTATTTTATTCTCCAGATGAGAACAATGTAATAAAAATGTAACATTAATATCATTTCTTTGGAAAAATATTGATGATAATGTATGAAAATAGATCCAATCATGAATTTTTGTTCATACAATTTTCTTGATGAATTTATTTTTTGCTCGTAGACCGAGTAAAACTGCAAGGAATGAATCATGGAATATTAGTATCAACAAACGATCAAAAAATTAGAGATCTTATTGAAGTTAAGAAACTAAGTTTCTTTTATTCGTTAATTATGTAATGAAAAAAGCTTGAGTCAGTGTAAAACAAAAGTCATGTATTTTCTTATGTTTAATTGTTGCGTTCACAACTTTTAATAATATTAATTAGTTCGGATATACTCACTTTTTCGTAATTTTCAAGATTTTACTCTATTCATGGTAAGCTTAAAAATATTAGCTTGATATTTGTTGTATGCATCTTGAAAAACGAAAATAGAAAGGCAAAGAATTTTTGTATTTAATTTTTCTAATAAAATTCGAATGCCAGTACAAAATAAACCCCTCTTTTGTTCATTTTATTATTTTGATTCCCTTTTTTCATTTCAATAATACGTAAGAAAAGAAAGTGTGAAAGCTTAACGAATGTTTAAAGTACAAAATGCGAAAAAACTAAGATACTAATGATAATGATGACGTTCAATCATATTTAGAATGACTGAGAATGTTGTATATCTACAGTTAGGATACATAATATCAATCTCTCGAATTGTGGCAATGTAATAGCTGAGTAAGCAACGAAAACTATATATTGATATATATTTCTAAAGAATAAATGCTTACTGATATTATTGCTCATCGTAAGAAAATTTTCCTAAACGAATTGTATGTAATTTCCAGCACACAATGTAAATGTTTTCATGGAAAAAATACAAATACATCTGATAAACTTGTTAAGTTATTCATATTTGTAACCTGAATATTCCATAATACAAAAATTCTATTTTTGCTCATTGTAGAAGCATTTATATGTCATCAAATGTTTATATGCATTGAAATGAAATTTTTCTGAAATTAAAAAAGCCTTGACATCTAGCCGGTAATGATATAAACTTAGAATTAAAAAAAAAGCCTAATTGTAGAATTATACTTGCATATTTTGGTTATTATTTTTGACAGTTTATAAAGTACCAGTTGAAGGGAGTTGAGACAGTAAAAAAAGTTATTTAGTTTTTTGTAGATATATTTGTATTTACATTGGTACGTTAAATATAAGTTACAAAAAAACTTTACTTCTTTACTGGTTTGGCCAAGCTAGCGGCTTTTTGGGCCTTGATAACCTTGACGACCAGTTTTTGTTCCTCAATGAGGAAAGCTCTGACAACACTGAAAATAAAAAAAAAATCATTAGTTGTCAACTCAATGGAAATATTAAAGTAGTTAAAATAAGATTTATAAACTATAGTGTCAAAATAATAATTTTGAAAGTTTACCAGGAAAATATTAAGAAATTAAAAGAAATATGAAAAATGTTGTATATAAGAAAAGTCAGCTGTAATGACATACCGTTCTTTAACGCACTTGTGGCACATAACACCACCATAAGCACGCTTCACTGTCTTCTTTCGGCGACACATCCTGGATCTCTCCATTGTTCTGGCAGGAACAATACCCCTCAGCTTGTTTTTGCAGTTACCGCATTTAGGGATAACCTTGTGCTTCTTCAAGTACTGGAAGACCAGACGATTTCCGGGAGTACGAACACTGAAAATTAAATCAATCATTATAAGTATTTGCTATCAGAAATGTTTGATTATGTTTTTCCACAAGTTATAATAGTTTCAAACAATTATTGGTTTTCTTTACTTTTAAATTGAACTAAATTATGTTTAAAGCATCAATGAACCATAAATAATCACTAAAATAATATGAAGTGTTGATTCAATAATAATCATTGAGTATGTTTCAAGCAGTATAAACTATGTGTACTCATATTGCTTAGCTATTCTGAGTTATATACTAGAAAACTATATGATTACAAGCAAAGGTTGATATTGTACGTTTAAAAGGAACATTTGGGATTACTAACTTAAAAAGCAATTTCAGTACCGATACTTGTAAAACAGTGAAAATCAATGGATTTTCAAGCAGTGGTGGTTCAACAATATGACAACATAACCTAAACACTTCGAGCATGTGCAAAATTGTCGAGCACATGGTGCACTCTTCCGATAAAAAAAGTCTCAGCCATATCAAAGATGCAATACAATTAATTGTACAATACAAAAAACTGATAAAACGTATAAAACAAACTTACACTTTGGTCCTGTTGGACTTCGTGTTGTACGAAAGCCGACGGCGGTATTGTAACCTTTGCACCATTTTGATCTGTAAAAAGTAATGTTTTTCACGTTATAACTATGTTCTGTTCTCACGCGCGAGATCGTTCAACTAATCGCTCGAACGATATTTTTGTTGTTCGGACGACGATTGTTGCAAATAAATTAGATTTATTTAAATGGTAAAAAATAAGCGTGCCGTCTCACCTATATTACACAGCGTAAGAGATCAACGCGAGAAAAGAAAAGCCCGAGACTGAGACGCCTGCGCACGACCTACTAGCGAGCGGCAATTTTTGAAAATTGTGGCGTAGCTAGTTGATCAGTAGAAATTATTTAAAAAAAATTATTCTTATCAACGAGGAACAATGTAATTGAAAAATAAATTTTAGAAAATTCATAAAGAGGTCTGATAAATAATTAATAAATAAATTTTTTCATTGGATAATTAATTAACAAAAGTATTTCATAATAATTAATTATTAGCAATGATACGATAATTATCATTAAACATTGTTCTAAGATCAATTCGTTCATAAATAACTCAACAACAACAATAATAATAATTAAAATGAAAACAATCGACTAAAATTACGCAAAGGTTTCATCGACTTATCGTATGGAAAATCCATGTTCTGCCTAAGTAAGTATAACTTTTGATACACCGTGCATATACCTACAAACCGCCGGAGCATCGCATCGTGTTCACACGCGCGCCGATCTCCGAAGTATGTACCACCTTTGATACTCTTTCGCGTGCGCATACCGCACACAACTATATACACCAGCACCTGAGCGTTAAGAGATAATTGAAATCCGCATAGCACAATTAACGCTGCTGCTGCTGCTGCTGCAGTATAATACACACTACTTGCCGCAGATACGCTGTAAAGTCGTGCGCTAGTTCTTAAGTGTTGTGCCGCAGCTGTATACGATATGCACCATAACTCGAGCGTAATGCGATACATCGTATACACGTACACGTGTCTGCGGGCTAGGTGTACATGGGCTTAGATGCTTGTATACGTAGTGGAGGTAAAAGTTTGCTCGCTCGACCTTGCTTTTGCCTCAGCACAGATTTTGTTGTGCACTGCACTCGTCGGCTCTCTTGTATTATATTATTGCACCTGCAATGTCAGGCGCTGAAAAAGAGAGCAAGAACAAAAACACAACAGCTTGTGGCTGTGTCGCATACATATATCGCGCTGTAAAATATAAAGTTTTGTCTTTTTTTCCTTCATCTTTTATGTTTTCGCTCGATCGTTACACCACACGAAGAATAATTTAACGAAACGTATGCAGACGGCATCGCGGCATCTATCTCGATCGCTAATTAGCCGTACATTCGATACGCTGTGTAACGCAATGTCATCGCCAACAATTAGGCAATATACCATAGACGATGCACCTTTCGTAAAAGCACAATATCATATATACATATCGTATGAAATCTGGTATGTGGCGCGGCGCATGGCGCAAAATATATACTGCAGATCTCGCGCGCATCTTAACTGCCTCGACTCGCGCGCGATCGTGTCTATACGGGGATCGCATAATAGCGTGGAAAAACTGCAACCGTAAACGTGTATACATGTACCGATACAAAATCGTGTGTGTGTGTGCGTACAACAGCAATCTCCGCGCGGTACACATACACAATGTCTCTGTGTGTGTGTGTCTGTGTGTGCGAGCTTTATATATACAGCTGTTGGATGAGAAAGAAGAAGAAGAAGAAAAAAATAGAGGCAGAAACGAATTACAGCATACACATACACACACAGATCGCGTTTAAGCTCATTGCGCAATGTCGTGAGTATATTATAACGTCGCTGCTGCTGCTGCTGCTCCTCGCCACGGTGCAGCACGACGAGAGAGAGAGATTATCCCGTAAGGATAATATAGCCTCGTAATATATGTATGAGAGAGCTTATATTAGTAAGCACCGACCGAGGCCAAGGTCTCCTCGTCGTCGTCTCGAGTGCGCGTATACGTACATGGTAATAAGTACCGATTCGCACGCGCACGTGTGTACACTCGGACCTTTTGTGTTTTGTTTATATTTTATTACCGTATCATTATCGAATCGCTGCCGATTTTTTGCCGGAGCTGCTGCTGCTTCGCGTGTCTATACGGATCTGCGAGACGCGCGCAAACGTATTTATGCACATGTGCGTGTGTATTGCGTAATAAGACAGAGATGTACGTGCAGTACACACGGGCGCGCACGCGTGTGTACTGCAGCTCGAGTCTAATTAAGAAGTCAACGGCGTTTCACCTAGTTTTGCTAAGACATTTACGACGATGCGCCGACGCTATTATACACGTACACTACCTCTTGTAGTGCTTCGCGTTTCACCTGTATAAAGCAACTATCTTTTTTTTTCTCCCTTCTGCGTCTATATAGTAGCATCGATATGTAACAGCACACGTATTAATTCTCTCTCTCTCTCTCTCTTCCGCCGATCTCGATTCTATGGCCTGTAAGATCGAACTCAATCCGTACACACACACGCGTACGTATCGTATCGCTTTGACGTATTAAAGTATAGGCGAGGACGATCGGCGCGATCGAAACGTTTTTCCGGCCTGTACATGTATACTCGCGCGCAGAATAGATTCTCGACTTTTATATATACCCTAGGTGCACGTATAGGTATAGACGCTGACTGCTACATAGCGAAATCTCGTTAAGCGCATCGAGTCCGCGCGCGTCCGAGCATAATGGGGCCCTTCTTATACGTACACCTATATCCTATATATAGTTATGCATTAGCCCCGGTCGCCGCACGCGGGGGCCTATACCTGCACCAAGCGCATACATCCGTACTTGACTTCCGCTCACCTCGCGCACACACGATTCTCTCTTGTGTGTGTGTGTGTGGCGCGTACCTATGTGTCGGCCGTACACTGCAGTGCACTGCAGGTAATAATACACACGCTCTCTTGCTGCCCTCTCTCTCTCTCTCTCTCTCGCTCTGTCTTGCTCGCTGCAGGTCCCCGGCTCTTTCCCTCTCCTCCTCCTCCTCCACTCTTATATCCTCTCTCTCTCTCTCTTACACTTGAGCGGGGCATAATATTGCGGTATTGTATGGGTACACGCGGAGCGCAGAAAAAGAGTAGTGAGCGAGAGAGAGAGGAATACACACACATACACACACACGCAGCAGAGCATAAGCACGCGGGCTCGCGCCACTTGGATATTGCAGCTGCGAGACCAGTTGCTCGCCGATTCACCGTCGTCGCGTACCTATATCATACGAGTGTGTGTTCTCTTCTTCTTTTTTGCGCACGAGGCGCACGCTGCATTTATATACAAACGTCAGACGAGAACCGGTACGTCTCGCGCTTGCCTGTCGCTCGATGTTTACACGTGTGAAGTGTGAATATCGCATGTCTCGAATGTGTTTTTCTCTCATCTATTAACGATGAATTAATCCTTGCTCTATTTGTGCGTCGTCGAATTTGAGTGTTTTTATTTTGTTTATCATCGTTTCTAAACGATTTTCTCGGAGGGTGTAAACCGATCTCTCTCGATCGTGAACGTCTCGACAGCTCAGCAAAGCCAACGAAAAAAGTAAAAAAAAGGAAGAAAGTCAAACGCGCTCCTTGTGGAGCCGAGGGGGTGGTCAGAGCGAACGGCGTGTGGCACACGGTTGAAAGAGGTTGGATGCACGCACCGCTGCACAACGCAGCACTTGTTGCGCACGCCCGCAACGCCGAACCTTCTGTGCCGCTACTGCCGCTGTACTCCCGAATTTTTTTTCTTCCCTCGATTCTTTTCTCGAGTATCGCGGCTGCTGGCATTGTGCATTTTCCCTCTGCGTCGTCGTATTTTCTACCAAAAACGCGCGCTACATATTCGGTGCATCGTGTACGCGCCATAAGCCGATGCTGCTGCTGCTGCTGCTGCTCGTTTTTTGGCCGCAGGAAGTCGAGTTTCATCCTTCTTTGTGCTCTCGTGTACTGCAGTTCACCACCACCGGTGCATAAATTCGGCCGTCGGTGTACAACTGGCACCGCATTACAACAACAACAACAAAAAAGAAAAAAAAACACACGCGTGTGCGTTAGTGTCTGTGTGTGTGTGTGCGCGAAGAGAAACGCGCAGGTCTATTATAAGACATCCGTTCTCTCGAAAGCTTACTTGCATTTTTGTGTTTTGTGCGTGCAATTTTCGCTCCTCTCTCTCTCGCACGAAGGATCGCGATCATCCGCAGCCGAGTGTTTTTAGTGTCGTTACGTATAGTTCTCATCTCGCAGGCCGTGTCGTCGTCCATACAGTGGGTTCGTACAGTGTGTTTGTGCGTCATTTGTGCGTGTCGTAATTTATGTGCCCGAGCGTGTGTGTTCGTGTGTCTCATAGTGTATTCGCGCCGTCCAGTCAAAGGAAAGAAAAAAAGTGCGCGCGATAATCAAGTGTTTTATACATTTGATATATAATACAAATCGCCGCGCGCCGCGTACGTATTATAAAGTGGAGGGTAATTTGTGCATCGCGAGTTTCTACGTGCGACGACAGTGAAAAACTACACACACATATACACATAGTTGGGCGCTTTGTTCGCTCGAGAGAGAGAGAGAGAGATGGATTATGATCGCGATGGTCATCGCCGACGCCACGACTGCAGCAGCCCGTGCAGCCGCCGCAACATCAGCCGCTCTTCCAAAGGGATAATTGGATCGGTGCTGCTCTGCTCTACCAAATAGGCTTTGAAACAACGCGCACGCGAAGAAGAGAACTTATATCCATAGTGTGCGGTGCATTTACAGCGAGAGAGCCTACTATAGTTGTGTTGTGTTGTGTTACTGCTGCTGCTGGCCGGTTCATCCGCTGGTGCATGTGTGCCTGCGCGCAAAAGGTAACGTACCTGCCAGAGATCGAGCTTTCTTCTATTTTTATTATTTAGAGTCTAAGGACTAGGATACGATGATGATGATAATGATGATGATGGGTGGGCTCCGCGGTGATCATCGATTAAGGCCGTGAGGTTCTTCTCTTTCGCTCGCGAGACTACACGTACAGTGCACACACACATACAGAGTACTAAACGATCGTTAAACTTCGTTTTGATGCCGATGCCATTGAGCTATTACGCGCGTTATAAAGAAAAAATAACAAAGCTCGCAAAAGTGCTGTAAGCACTTATTGCGCTCGAAAGAGGATTTAGTATACGCGAAATTCATACGACTGAATCGAACATATTTACTTTCATTATTTTGGAGAAGTAATCGATCGTAATGAATGTAATCGACGATTGGGTTCCGGACTACACTCGTTACACGTTGTACGATCATTAACGATTAATTCAAGCGGTCGGAAGAGCGAGAGCCGAAGCTGTACGATGTTTTATTCAGAAAAACGTATAGAATAGCGTCGCGTCATCCGTTCAAAAATAAAGGTCGAGAATCAGCGCAGCTTTCAAAGTTAATGAATAATTTTATTTTGCCGAGTGCGCACCGATGCATGATTATTATTCTACCAGTACTCGTTGCTTTGTATATTCACCTCAGGATTGCCTTTGAAAATTTTTTTTTTTTATTAATCATTCACAGGAACAGTTGTCTGTAAGATAAGTTTAGAATCATAAATTAAATGGACTCATATTAATATACGTAATTTATCGAATATTACTTATTTTGTGCGAATACCACTTTGGAAATAAAAAATGGAATTTACCCAGCCTCCGATGTTGACCAAACTCGCATAAAAAGTTTGACTCGTCATTGCGAAATGGTGAGTTTTCACCTTTTTTAATGTTCAAATGCTACGAAGGCAAATATCTATACGTTACATCATTGCATTACAAAATTATTTTTTATAAGAGATTGGAGAAAAGTCGCTTATTCATAGGGCTTACGATTTCTTCAATAATCGAACAATCACCAATTTTATTGTTTATATTGTGACTAGTTCAAATAATCGTATGATATTTACTAGCGACACACCTCGCTATCTTACGTTCGATTGGCCTCGGTAAACACTATCGCGAATTTAGTTCACAAGTGAGTTTGACGTTTAACGTCATTTGTGAAACTATAAAACTTGGCAAGATGAGTTCTACATCAAACTGTGTCGACGGGTAATTTTTTATACGAAGCGTTAAAAAAGTGTAAAAATCGTCATCGCATGAATCTTATCGTGTCTCGATCTTATTTCAGAACGGAAGATGATCCTAATCATGCCATGCTCAATGATATTAATTTTGAAGTATATGTCGAGGAGCTTTTTGAAGAGGTCCCGTTTACGCAATTTCAGGAGGAAGTCACGCGAGTAAGTTGGTCTCGATGCGTTAAATATGCTTCACAAAGTCGTCACGTAACTTAATTCTGTTCAGAGCCACGTGCCGGCAAAAGGCAGATCGTCTCGCGGACGCAAAATGGTCACGCGCAAGAGCCGTAGCCATCCGTGCAACGTCTGCGGAAAAAAGTACAAGAGCAAGAGTTGTCTGAAAATCCACATGGACGCGGCGCATAACGAGATCGATCATCCGTGCGACGTTTGCAAAAAGACGTTCACGACCAAGGGCAATCTCCGGAGCCACGTGAAGTCGGTGCACATGGCCAAGGCCCATACGTGCGACACGTGCGGCAAGAAATTCTCGCAGAAGGGCAATCTCGCGACTCACGTGGACGCGGTGCACAATGCTCGCAGGCATCCGTGCTACAAGTGCGGAAAGCAATTCAAACGGATGAGTTATCTGCGCAGGCACGTCGAGACGATGCACGATCGTATCGCGACCTATCGCTGCGACGCCTGCAGCAGGATGTTTTCGACCAAGGATCGTCTGAAAATTCACGTCGACTCGGTGCACTTGAGCGTCACCTATGCTTGCGACCTCTGTGCCAAAAGTTTCAGCTCCAAGAGCTATTTGCGGATCCACACCGATTCGGTGCACTTGAGCGTCAACTTCAAATGCGACACATGCCAGAGAAAATTTCCGCAGAAAAATAAGCTCAAAATGCACATGGACGCGGAGCATAACGGCGTCACTTACAAATGCGATCAATGTATAAAGACGTTCAAACACAAGCGTACTTTGAAAATCCACATCGATACGTATCACAACGGTGTCACTTATCCGTGCGATTTATGCGGCAAGGCGTTCACGCAGAAGGGTTATCTCAAATTTCACATAGATGTGCAACACATCGGTACTACTCACACTTGTCATACGTGTAAGAAAACGTTTCGACAAAAGAGAAATCTTCGGGTCCACATCGATTCGGCGCACTTTGGCATCAAACACGAGTGCGACTTGTGCGAGAGAAGATTCGCGCAAAAAAGACAACTCGACATTCACAAGCAAGCGCAGCACATTGGTATCGAATACAAATGCGCCGAATGCGAAAAGACGTTTAAATTGAAAAGGAGTCTGAAGATGCACATCGATGTGAGTCACAACGGTATCACTTATGATTGCGGTATATGCGGCAAGGTATTGACAAGCAAATATTGTCTGAAGAAACATATCGAGGGTATCCATTATGGGAGCATCCAATCGTGCCTACAATGCGGTAAAATATTCAAACGAAAAAATGAACTCAACACTCACATGAAGAAGAATCATTGATGTCAGAGATGTCGAGAAGTGTGAAAAGAATCTAAAGATCGAGAGTAATCTCGAAAATTACGATGTATTCTAAGTACAAGCGAGATGTCCTATGCGCTTCGATGCGCTTTACGCACTTCAGAATCGTACAGAAAACGTTCATATTTATAAATCATTAAAAATGATATAATAAATGTTATTAGATGATTAAATAAAAATTGAATAAATTGATTAAAAATTATTGACTCTTTATTACTTATTGACATTTTTTTTACGATCTTTGCCCTAGCTTACTGTGACCTTATCTTCTAGGATTTACTTAAATGTCAAGAGTCGTGATTTTGCTACGCATTTTTAATTTCTGAACACGTCAAAGTTAAATCAAAAAATTAAATCATTCCAAAATATTAAACTGCTTGTTATTAGAGAAGTTCTGTTATTTATAGGGTATAATAGTTCTTGAATAATCCGACAATCTTATTTCGTATTGTGTTAATAACTATCGTATTGTGGTAACTATTAGTTCGAATGTTTATATAATATACTAGTGACAGTTCTCTCTCGGTTTATTAAACACTATTGAATAGAATAGTACGGGAAAAATTAATCGCTCGTAAAACTAAAACTCGGCAAGATGAGTTCTCCACTCAATTTAGATGACAGGTAATTTTTTACGAAGCCTTAATAGTTTAAAAAAATCATCGCATTAATTTTACCGGATCTTAATCTAGTTTCAGAACGGATGATATTTGTGCAGGAATAGAATTGAACGACAGTGTTATTTTTGCAGTCGTTCCAATCGACCAATTTCAGGAAGAAATGGCAGTAAGTTCGATTCAATTATATTAGCTAGCGGTGAGGCAAACATTTTTCCCAAAATTGTAACATAAATTATTCTCATTTAGGGCTCTGAGACGCCAGAAACAGTTGAAACCCCTCAACTTTTTCCAAATGTTTCGAATTCTGACGTTCATCAGGAAATTTCAGTAAGTTCGATGTGATTATATGCGACCGACGCGGTAAAATTTTTTACCAAAATTATGACATAAATTACTTTTTTCAGGGCTCCGAGATGCAAGAAAACGACAAAAATCACGAAATGAAACTGAATGACAATGTAATGGCCATTAAAACATCTGAGCCTATCTCAAATGTTTCGTTTCTCGAACGCCAGGAAAAAGTTGCAGTAAGTTTGATTCAATTATATTAGCTACCGGTGAGGCAAACATTTTTCCCAAAATTGTAACATAAATTATTCTCGTTTAGGGCTCTGAGACGCCAGAACCTGTCGAAAAACGAGAAAGTGTACTAAATGACGAACAAACAGTTGAAACCCCTCAACTTTCTTCAAATGTTTCGAATTCTGGCGTTCGTCAGGAAATTTCAGTAAGTTCGATGTGATTATATGCGACCGATGCGGTAAAATATTTCACCATAATTATGACATAAATTACTTTTTTCAGGGCTCCGAGATGCAAGAAAACGACAAAAATCACGAAATGAAACTGAATGACACTGTAATGGCCAATGAAACATCTGAGCCTATCTCAAATGTTTCGTTTCTCGAACGCCAGGAAAAAGTTGCAGTAAGTTTGATTCAATTACATTAGCTACCGGTGAGGCAAACATTTTTCCCAAAATTGTAACATAAATTATTCTCATTTAGGGCTCTGAGACGCCAGAACCTGTCGAAAAACGAGAAAGTGTACTAAATGACGAAGAAACAGTTGAAACCCCTCAACTTTCTTCAAATGTTTCGAATTCTGACGTTCGTCAGGAAATTTCAGTAAGTTCGATGTGATTATATGCGATCGATGCGGTAAAATATTTTACCAAAATTATGACATAAATTACTTTTTTTCAGGGTTCCGAGATGCAAGAAAACGACGAAAATCACGAAATGAAACTGAATGACACTGTAATGGCCAATAAAACATCTGAGCCTATCTCAAATGTTTCGTTTCTCGAACGCCAGGAAAAAGTTGCAGTAAGTTTGATTCGATTATAAGCCACCGGTATCATAAATATTTTTTCCACAATTATGACATAAAAATTAACCATTAAAAATTAACCTTTAATCAGAGCTGTGAAAGGCAAAAACTAGAAGGAAATTCTGAAATTGAACTGAATAACAAAGCAACGGTCGAAACATCGCAACCTTCCTCGAACATTTCACTTTTGGAAGTTCAGCAAAAAGTTGCAGTAAGTTCAATTCGATTACATCCGACGGATACGATAGACATTTTTCACATAATTGTGACATAAATTAATTTCGTTTAGAGCACGAAGAAGAAAACGAGTAGTGAGGACAAAAGATATCCATGCCCTATATGCAAAAAGGTGTACGCTACTAAAGGTTATGTCATCAATATCCACATCAATGTGACACACGAAAAAAACTCCAAATTCAAGTGTGATCATTGTGGAAAGGTATTCTCAAGGCGGTCTACTATGTATGAACATATCAAAACAAATCATTTAGGGAAAAAACATGTGTGTCCCATATGTCAAAAGACATTCACAAGAAGTAATCTTCTCAAAACACATATCAATTCCCACAATGGCGACGTATTTGAATGCGACGTATGCGGAGCGAAATTCGTGAACGATCGGAATCTCCAAAAACACGCGAAGAAGCACGAGCTCGAATTCACTGCTGAGCACGAGCTCCATAGTCACTTGCGGGCGAAAAACAGAATCGCGGCCAACGAGCGCAGAAAGTCGAGGGACGAAACCGAGGGTAACCATACGCAGGCGCATCCCATGGAGCGTAGAGGTTCCTCGAGCGAATGTGTGCCGTGTGAACAGTCATTGGGAAACGAAGCAAAATACAAGAAGCACTTCCATTTGAAGCATTTTCAAAGATCGTGACGTATGCTTAGAAAAGTATCCGGACAAAAGAGGCAGTAAATATTGTATATAATAACTTGATAAATGTAAAATTGATTTTAATTCATAACAAATACTTTGTAAAATTCACAAGAGTCACTCATCGATAAAGTGTACATTAATCCACTAGGTAGGTTTTTTCATGAGTGGAAATGCTCTACGCTCGATACCCATGCAAAATAATTTTATAATAATCTCAAAAAAAAACACAACTAATTGGAACAATCGATTAAGACCTCAATAGAATTTTAAGCAAAACATCTTTTTTTTCATAAGAAAATAAGATCGCGATGATATACGCGCTAAAATTTTCATCCATCGATTTCCGCTCACGCAAGAAAAATCAAGCGTCGATGTCTTCCGAACTTTCACCGGTGTATTGTTTATTAGTATTTGCGCAAGATTCGCGATCGTACTGCCCCCGGCACACTCTAAGCGGCAGCAAGCAGAATTATATTTTCATCGAGTTTTCTTGCTTTTGATAACGACGAGCCGTTCAGCGCCAATTATTTGACTCGATGCTCGATCCTACAGTTTATATCGGATAAACAAAACTCATAGAGGTCGAATGAGAAAATTTCGTCTAGAGAGGCGCAACGATTAGACGTTGTACTTACGTACACGCGCGTCGACTTACAGATACAATCGTACACGCTTAATAACAATCGGCCTCTCCTTCTCCTCTCTCCCCTCTCTCTATTAAACGGACTTCTTCGCTTGGCGCGAGACTCACATCTACTCGTTCTGAAAAGCTTTAATTTAAACTTTTCGTTGAATGATTAAACATTTTAGTGGGCTAACAGTTTGAAATATGGAACTGTCAGCTTGTCGAATTATAATGGAATTAATTTAATTTCATTGATATTATAGCTAAGAAATTGATCATTACTGATAGTGTTAAATTACTGTATAATAATACGTTACGAGTTGACGCCCTTTGAATTTGTACCTGCCCTACTCGAGAGCCACGTGATACGGATTACTATGAGACGGGGCAACAACATAAGCGCGGGACTCTTTTGCCGCCAATAATCCGTCGGTTGGCACACCAGCGGCATTCGCTATCGTCATTTCTGTCGCTTTTTCACGTAAACGCGGTCGTGGTGCTCTGTGAAGCTAACTGTCACTGGGACTCTTGTTACTTTGTGCAAAGTGAAAGGTTAAATTGAAATGGAGCAATCAACGATTAGGTTCAAATACAAGCGTTTGAACGATCAAACGTACACTTTAATAAAGTCGATTCCCAGGACTTGGCCTATCTCAATTTTAAAAGAACATCTCGCAAGAATTGAAGCTACACCACAGACCAAAGTGATCATCTTTCATAGAAATAGAGTACTCTTAGATGGAGAAGTTGGCGATTACATTGAATCGGATGCCGAAGTACAGGTAAAACCATTGATCGATTTTATTTATTCCATTTTTATTTTGCAAGAGCTTGACTGCGAGTTTAGACATATCTTTTCTTTTTTCGTGTGTAGTTGGCATTTATCCCGATTGATGTAGACATATTGTCAACAGAAATTTATCAAACGAAGATTGGTCAAATGTGGAGCAGCAGAACGGATTTATTGAAAGCTAAAATTCACACCGAACTGGTAAATAGTATTTCTGGACACCCGAAAAAATGCGCTCATTCAATAATCTATTCTGGTGAAAATGAGCTTGATGAAGATCAAGGACAAAAAATCCAATTCACAGTCTTGGGATCAGAATTGACCGGTATGAAAGAAGCCTTGGCTCGCAACTGCCCAGTTCACCTGAATACGATAAACGGTGCCAAATCAGAAAATTTTACCAAGGGAATTCACGTAAGAGTTGTGAGGCAATTCAAGCTCAATAGCCCGTATGAAAACGACCGGTGTTATAAGTATGATGGAGTGTACACAGTCTCTGAGTATAGACCCAGAAAAGAAAAAAGTGGACGTTGTGTATGGCTATTCACACTTGAGCGAGATGATAATGCATCAAATTCACGGTCAAACGAAATATTTAGAAAAAAGAGACTAATTAAAGAACCCGCTGCTATTCTTGTAAATCCAAGCATCGCAAACGATGAAATTTTATTTTGGAAATTGGATAGTAATATCGAAGTCGGTCAAATTTTCCGGTGTAGGCAAAATTTAACTAACGTTAAATTATTGCAACATCGCGCTAATGGAAATTCGTACTCTTTCGTATGGAACAACGAGATAGAAACTGGAGGTCCTGTCAACATTATACCATTCACTGTTGTGTCTGCCCAACCCCTGAATGATTATATCAAATCTTTATCAAAAAAATTCGCTATGATGGATTTTAACAAAGGATTTATAACCGAAGATTTGGCTAGTGCCCCAGACGTCAAAGTCTTCAAAAAAACGATCTATCAGGATATTTCATCCATACGTTACGATGGCACTTTCAAACTCTACGCATTCTGGACAGAAGTCAATAAAAGTGGATTGAAAATATGGCGTTATTTATTAAAAAATGCTACGATTCCAGTAATTCCAGTTCCAGTTACTTCCAGTTCCAGTAAATCAAAAACAGATATTCCAATTGGTACTATTTGGAATTCGAGAGCGGAATTAGCTGCAGCTAAAATTCATTGTCACAATCAAGCAGGAATCTGCGGAATATCAAAACTTTGTGCGTATTCAATCGTTTTGTCTGGCGAATACGAGGGTGACGTTGATATTGGACATATCATTATTTATGCCGGTTGCGGTGGTAGAGATAAAAAAACGAATAAACGAAATGAAGATCAATCTTTCAGTAAAAGGAACGAAGCTCTGGCGAGGAATTGTCATGCTAAATTCGACGTTAAGGGAGCTGTCGCTCAAACCTCGAAAGAAGGAGTTCCAGTTAGAGTAGTAAGAAAATTCAAGTTACCAAAAAATAATCCATATATCCGAGATGAGTTTTTTAGATTTGATGGGATGTACAAAGTCGTTTCTTACTGGCGTGAAAAAGGAATCGATACCTACAAGATCTGTCGCTTTTTATTAAAGCGAGATGACTCTCCTTCTACTTAGTGCTCGAATAATAATGATGGTGCTGAATCATATCAGGTACGTAAAGTAAAAATCGAAAAGCTACCTTTAAATCATAGTAATAATGGGAAGAGAGGGTGGCAAGTATTCACCGTAGTCTGTGCGAGAACACGACTCTTTCTCTCTCTCATTCTTAAAGGGTGAGAAAACAGTCGACATTGTAAACTCATCCAGCTATAGATGACCATGCCGTAGCAGCGAGCCTTTCGAGAACTATTTACATCTTTAACTACTTTTTGTGCTGTTTCTTTCTCTTTCATGAGCGTAAGCTCTTCCTCTCCTCGCTCGTTTCTTTCTCTCTTTTGCTGCGTGCATGGACGTGAAGTGATGTGCTTGCGTCCTCGTGTAAATAATTAAATTTAAGCTCGTGTACTACTGCTCGTGCCTTATCTGCGATTGAGTAATAGTTTACAATCAATATTTAGAATCAATCTTCTGAATTTTCGCCAATTTATATGCCTCGAGCGTATATGAATCAATATGTAATAATCGACGCTGTTAAGGAAGAGTAGCATATTTCTATACATTTTTAAATGTAAACGTGCTAGTCTTCCTTAACAGCATCGTAATAATAACGATGCATCGATCATTCTTAATTTGTTTCATCAATAATATCATGTAATAATCGCAACTTTGTTTTCTATTTGTTACAGATAAAAGAGAAATATCAACGGGCATCTCTGTCAGTGGGCGCTTTTTTAAATATTGAAATCAGTTTATTTTCTTACGTTCGCGTGTTATTATTTTTTTAATCTATATTTTATTTTTTTATTTTATCAATTGTTCGTGTTATGTATATTTTTGATTACGCAATGAAATATCCAAAAAATCTGCCATAATGTACAAATATTTGAAATTTTATGAAAACCGTTTGGTAAATAGTTATGAAACAATTATAGCACAATAATAGTGTTTTTGACTTTATATCATCAGTTTTATGTTGATTTTTTTGTCCACTTTCCAAAATCCCATATTCCTCTTAACAGTGGCAATAGATATATACACCTCTCAATTTTTTCGGTCCGGCCAATGTTCGCCAAAGATCTCGGTCAGATAAGTAAGCAGTGAAATGCCGGTAGCTTTTTTTTCATTCATTTTCCCATCTTTATCGGGTCCAAGCACTTGTACACACAGATCTCTATTTCTCTCTTTCTCTCTCTCTTTATTTTAATTCTTACTTCAACTTTGTTACTTTTTTTGTTGCTGCTGAGAGAGCCATTGGATCGCCCCGGACACGATTGAAAATTTCTCCACGCTTTTATGACGTACTGCTGCTGCGCGCGAGTACTGCCCTACTAAAACTAATTATAATTACAAATATCACGATTCACCCTCTCTGCAACTTTTGCGTTGCTAACTGTCTTCGCTGCAGCTCGTGGCCTGCATATTGTACTCTTCTCGGCCGTCGTGTCGCCCGCCACGATGACCAATCGCGACTCTAAGGGTATAGTAGCATTGTTGCACCGAGAGACGCGAAAAGGTATTGTGTGCTCGTATTATATCTGGGCCAAATTCTAATGTACAATATTTTGTTTTTTGATTTTCTCGCAAAAAAGTTAATTTTTTAGGTACGGAGGGGATAAAATAAGTTACGATTAATGTTAGCTTCGATGAACGACGTACTCGTGGTATTATTCGCATAATGTTTAACGATGCTCTGCGTTGTAATACACCGTCCGATGGTGTAAGCATACTCATTTCAGCCGAACAGTCATTTTACGTTCTCGAGTTCATACAACCAACAGAGCGCGAAAAGCTTAGAATTTGGATGCTTCGATCATTGCTTACCTAAAGCGAAAAAAATTTCCGATGCGCATGCGGCCTCGTAAAAGTTTGATTAATTTCCGCGCGCGAGTTACCGAATCTCTCTCTATAAGGATGATAAAATAATGACCATATACCCTATGATTATAAAGCGACGTCATTCTCAAAGATATTAGCACGACGAAGAGGAAGAAAAAAAAACAGCCGCGGCGATTCATATAGCGCGGCGCGCGAAAGTATCGGCGTATACAGACGGAATAAGTGGCGCGCGCAGTTCTCATTTGCCTATGAGCCGACGCACGCTGTCCCTAATAATAGTCGCTTCCGAAGAACGAGGAAAGGAGAGAGTGGGTAAAGAGATTTGATGTAAAAAAACAACAACGGGTGCGAGTTAATGCCTCTCCTCTCCGTCTCTGCCTTGATGCCGCTTGTACGGTGTACATTTACCGTATCTATCCGAAGAAAATAAAGTGTGTTTACTCGTGCGTTTCGTAGAGAGATGAATGAATTTAAGAATCTTCTTCTCTCGTTCTCTCTCTGTCATATTAAACTCAACGATGAGCGTTCGATCTGCTATGTTAATATTTTAATTCAATAAATAATTTTAAAAAACCTTTAAAATACTATGATTTAAAATTTATGTACTTTGAAAAAATACAAGACTAAAAAAATTAAATAATTATACAAATCAATTAACAAATCCAAACATTAAGTAACAATCAAATGAAACTGTATGAAATCAGTCTTATTTGAAAATTCGTTCAAGAAGTTAATGAAATCGCCGCATCGGTCGCTGGCATTGTGGGAGAAATGCCTCGCCCACATCACGGTGTTTTTCATTACTTTCTTTTTGGATCGTCTTACTTGCCACACACGCATACTCAATACTCGTTACGACGCCGCTGAAGCAGGTCGCATACAGCACATGGCAAGTGATTTTAGAGAAAAAAAGCAAAGTTTTTTAATAACACTCGAACCTAAAAATTGAAACTTTGCCGATAGTTGTAAGCTCTTGTGATATAAAATATTGTTGTATGCAACTTACATATTTTCTTTTTTTTCGCGAGCCGAAGGCAAGTGCTGTAAAGAGTTTCATACCCGTTGCAGGAAGTACTACGAACGGGCCACGTGTTTTTGTGTTTTTGTGTTTTTGTGTTGGGGTGTGTGTGTAATATAGCATAACAATGTCCAAAACCTTGGAATTAAAGAGACTACGAGAAAATGTCAATTGGGAGATTGAACAAGAGCGAAATGATTTTGTCGAGCAACTATATCCATTGGTCAAAGATTGGCAGTATCAACTGCCACGTCTCCGAGACATTTTTCGAAAGGAAGAAATTGAGTATATTCTCTTGGAATCCATAAAATGCAAAAAATGTCTGAAAGGAAAAGAATTGTTTGACTTTGTGATCAGGAGCGGCTACAAAGACGAGCCCGAAGTCGATGAAGATAATAAAATATTGCATCGTACAACATTAGTGCACCACTTGGCGGCTAATCGACACCGAAGCCAGTTTTATGATTGGAAAGATGACGCATTTATACTAATTCAAAACGTGTACGACAGATTGGACGTGATTTACAGCGACGAGTCGGGCATGACACATTTCCATGTGGCCTGCATGGCAAGATTATACTATACCGTCAAAAGATTTCTCGACTCCGGCTGGGATCCAAATTACCCCGTGCGAGAAACAGGCGATACCCCGCTGCTGTTGGCTGTGAAAGAACATGACATCCTTCTGTCCGAACTGCTGCTGAAAAGAGGCGCTAATCCTAACTTGGCCAATGCAAAGGGATTGACTCCGCTTCACTTCGTTTGCAAGGATCAAGTCTGTGTCATCGAATTGTTGAAGATCTTATTCGAGCTCAGCGACGAAAAATATCATCCAGTGCAGATCGACCCTCGAGACAATTTTGGTCGTACACCTCTACAATGGGCCGTGGCGTGTCTTTGGCCAACTATGGTTGAAGGACTCTTGGATCGTGGCACTGATCTGTCTAGTTTTGTTTTCCCAACTGCAGGATACTTTGGGAAACGACCACGTGGTAGGCTTCTCGGAGATAAATTTTTTGTGGCGTTTAACGTTCCGACCATTGTCATTATTCTCGAAAGAAGAGGGTACGAATTTAGCCGCAGCGACGCCTTAATAGTCATGAAATATCTCGCTCAACGTGAAGTGTTTCTAAAGCCGGAGAATCTCGTTCAACCTTGGTATAAAAGACTAATGGTTTCTGAAAATCTTTCGCTCTACGACTTTCTGCAGTTACGACCCAAAGAGGCGCTAAAGCTATTCACGTGTATGGACTACTTTGCCATGAGGGGCTTGTCGAGTTATTGGGCGTTTCCGGACAGGGACACTGGTGCTGCACATCTGTGCGAAAAAGTATCGAGAGGATTTATCAAGCGGTGGGCCCTGGATCCTTTTATGGAACTGATACACTACCGATTGCCGATTCTTTGCGTCGAGATGATCATCGACAATCTGAGCAATGAAGATTTATTCAATATTTGCCAGGCGGCGGCTATACGTACAAAATGCAAGCCCAACAGTAAAAAAAATGTAGCAACAAATGTAACAACTACTGTTAAGAAAAGACCCGTGAGAGCTAAAAAGGCCCCAAAAAGGCTACAATATAGTGAAAATTATGAATGATATGTCTTAGTCCTGCTATGAAATTTTAATAGGAGAGAACAAGATGGCGCTTTGTGGCATGTTTTTTTTCAGCTGCAGGACAAAGCTCGTGCATTGAATATGTTGTAAATTTTTCATAATAATCAAATAAATAAATTTCAAAAAACATTCAAATCTTTAATTTGTTTGAATTATAATTTATAATCACCTTTGAACGATAATTACTCATGCTCCGAGGCTTTTCAGTTTTTCGCTCTATATAGGTACTTACTCCACTTTATAGCTAATTAACACGAACTACACAAGTAAATACAAGATTGGAGACCTCAATTCATAAAAGAGGAAAAATTCGATTGAACCTTATAAAAAAAAAATTAAATGATGCAAATTAGAAAAAAATAGAAGAAATGAATGAAAAAATCAGCTGTTTACAAACAGCTGCAAGACGTGAAACATCTTTACTAATAAAGTATTTAAAAAATTTAAAGACACATAAAAATTTTAAACTTATTGCTCAATTGAAACACAAAAAAGATAAGTCAAATAACTAATAATAAAAACAAGAAAATTGACCAATCAATTAAGTTAAAAATAAAAAAGTAAAAAAAAAACACGAATAAAACAAGTAAATATGTAAACCAAAAACCAAACTAGAAACTAGAAAATCACGAAAAAGAAAACTTAAAAAATCAGAGTAGTTTCTCGAGCATCAATGCGATGCATCGAATGTACAATCTCCATACTTAAACGATATATAATCGTACCGATCCTGTGTATTCGACTCAGTCACCGCTGTCGGGCGCAAGATCGGTGCTAGGTTCGTTTCCTATAACCGGTACATGCGCACACTGGCCTGGTGACAAAAACCAAAAATGGTACAAATATAAAAAAAAAAAAAAAAAAAAAAAAAGAAAACAAAGAACAAGAAAAGAACTTCGTACATTCCCACGCATTTAATCAAGCCGCGCGCGGAGTCATTAACGCGCACCGTGTATCGGTACGTGCGATAAATGTATATATGAATGTGTATATGTAGCAGCAAGGATCCGAGAGAGGCGCGCGCAGTCCTGCGTGGAAAAGTCGGCCGTTGTTGAGCCGTGTGTGCGCGACTGCAGCGAGCGAGGGCTGCTGCCGCCGCAGTCACTCGGACGCACGATCATAATTCGCACGTGACTTAGCGATCTGCTCGCGGCACGCACACAGACGCGTACGTATACGCTTACCGGTCACCTGTCGTCGTTGTCGTGCAGTCGCGTACGTCGTTATAACACAGTATACACGCATATAAAATTGAGCTTCGGCGGGTATATATATAATATATAGTTGTCTGCGTGCATACATACACCAACGAATGTGGAACCTCGAAGCAGGTGGTTATAACACGCGTACACGGACACATTGTAAAGTCTCGTGCATATATACTGCTGCTGGCGGGTTGGCTGGCACACGTAGTCTCACCCTCCTCGATACGTACCCTATACGTATGTATATATCGTTCGTATAGCGTTGCGCGCGCGCGCGCGGCTTTTCTGCGTCGTCGTCGCCGTCGTTGCCGCCGTTGCCGCCGCCGCCGCCGCTGCTGCTGTTGCTGCTGCCGTCGTCGTCGATAATGACGCACCGTTTCGGGCTCTATACACAGCAGCAGGCATGGTTGGTTGGTCGGTTGTGCCAGAGTCTGTATTTGTGTGTGTCTGTGTGCACTGTGCGCATATATATAACTCGCTGCTGGCGCGCGAGCCTCGCTTCAGTCGCTTATCGGACGCCGTGACGTTCGGTCTTTTTTTCTTTCTTTTTTTTTTTTTTTTCATCAAAATTCGTCATCGTAATTCTCCGAGTACAGAAAAAGAAGAAGATATCGCGCGCGCGTTGCTCGATCCAGCTTCGACGAGAAAAAGTACACTGCGTGCGTCGAGCTTGTGCTTTATTGCGCTTTTTCGTAGTTTTTCGTTTCTTTCTCTTATCGCATACGCATATTTTTTGTTCTCTCTTACGTTCCTTTTTTTCTTTTTACTCAATATTTCGCATCGATGTGCTGTGTGTGCCTCTCGCCCTCTCTCACTCTCTATATATAGCTTTCCGTGCGCGCGCTCGAGGTTATATGCCTGGAGCTTGCGAGGCTGAATCTCGCGTGTGCGTGCCTCGCACGAGCTCGCGCTGCTGCATACATAGGATCATGGTGTGATAAATACAGCTAGGCGACTATTGGCATGCGTGCAATTGTATTTTTGTGCGCTATTATTAATGTTCGAGTGTGTCGCTGATTTTGTGCATGTGTTGGTCATTGATTTATTTAT